TTTTCATGTACTCAAGTCAGTCAATACTGAACATTTCAACAAAACATTCATAACAAAACATTTTGCAGTTTTCATACAGTATTATTGAACGTACCATTGTACTGTAAGCTTACAGTAATACTGCAACATAAATTACATATCCAGTTCAGTAGCGAATAAAAAATAAAATAAAAACCTAAACATCTCTCCGCCTAGCTGGATCTGTCCACAGGGCCTCGTCAACATCACAGGCTGTATTTTTCATTTGCAAGGCAATGTGGGAAGAATCTTTTGGAGTGACGAATCCACCCTTGTATGGATGCTGCTTCAATTTGATCACATGCTTCCTCCATAGCTTGAATGAGGGCCATCTGGACATAGGGCCAGAGATCATAAACCTTCCACCGCCATGCTGAGAAGAACTCCTCGATGGGGTTTAGGAATATTGTGATTAGACAGGAGGCGCACTATATAATGTGCAGTGAAGTTTTATTTATTTAACTGAAACAGCATAGTCTAAAAATCAATCTTCAGATTAAAGAACTGATATTGATACAATAATTTTATTGTATTATTTCATTTTTGCAACATTGTAAACGTTACACACACACACACACACACATATATACATACAGTATCAGCACAAATTAAATGCTAAACATAAAATTAAATATTTTACAATTTGTCATGAAAATTATATAATAATGCAAAATATCTTACCTGGTCCTAACAACAATAATAATAATAGTGTTATTATTATTAAGTATCGCTTTTAATTATTGAAATTAAATTTCTCATTTCTTGTAATATAGCCTGGATATGGTCTTAAATGCTTTCATAAGATTCACATGATTTGTAATATTTCCACTTATTTTATATAACTTTTTTATGTTTCTGCGGAATTGTTCTTCACTTCATCTTGAGATGCAAATAAACCCTTTTATTCTGAGACATTTACTTAGATCCTGTTTTTCAACTGCAAACTGGCCAAAATAGCCCAGTTGTGCTGCGTAAGTGCCTCAGTAAAGATGTCAGAATCAGATGTTTGAATAGTTTTTTTTTTTTTCACGTAATCTTTTGAGCAAGTCATGAATGATTTGTTTGTAAATCCTTCTGAATTGTGTCATTGTTAATGCCATAAAATACAGCATGTCATGCAGTTAGCAATGCATGAAGCTCAAATCTAAATGGAGCACAGGTTTTTTTTTTTTTTATACGGGTGTATTCCGATAAAATATCTAAAAAGCATAGAGCAGCAGAGCAAGAGGACGCCGGCTGAGTGCATTATGTCCTCGTGTGCTGCGTGCGTCACTTAACATAGCAACCAGCCCAGATGACAAGTCAGGACTTGTCTGTGTTTGAGTAAAGCTCAGCAGGCCATCTGTGTCTTTCTATATCCCATCCTGGAGCAAAATCCCTCATTCTGCTGAACTCAATGCTGGGAAAAGAGCCTGCTGCTGGTTAAAGATGCAAAGTCACATTATCTGGGGAATGAAATAAGAAAATGCATGTAAGTACCAAGTGCAGCAAACTTAATTCAGCTTAACTTGATGTTGTGCAATGGAAATCTAAAATGTATTGATGTGAAAGGTGCATAGTGCATGTTTTCTGGCCCGCAGGTACAGCAGCATGCATGCAAGTGAGTGACATTTACAGTATCATTTGGGAAAGGAAGTTAAAAAGGCTGGCATATTTGTTTGTTTGCTTGTTTGTAGAAACTGTGTCTTAGCAGTTCAATCAAATCACACTGGAAATGGAAGGTATTGCATTGAATGCATTGCATTGTGGGATGCAGTGTGCACTGGTTGTATTTAGCACATTATAGAAAAGTAGTAGGTCATATTAGCATATAGAAAATGTACACCGCAAAATAGTAAGAGTAGTGATTTATATGCCTTACAATATGATTAAATCATTTGAGCTCTTTCAGTGAATCATTTGAGCCAGTTTGTCAAACAGTATGAACAATTCATTTGCTAATCTTTCTGAATTGTGTCGTTATTATGTCGTGTCTTACATTTCAGGGCATTCTGCAACATTCTTATAACTTCATTTTGATATACATTCTCGTAATGTTGAGAGAAAATATTCTTAGAAGAGCATTCTCAGAAGGTTCCTAATTTGCTGCTTATTAATAGTTAATAAGGCAGTTGTTAAGTTTAGGTATGGGGTAGGGTTAAGAGATCTAAAATATGGTCATGCAGAATAGGGCATTAAAGGGTTAGTTCACCCAAAAAGGAAAATTAGCCCACAAATGACTCACCCTCAAGTCATCCTAGGTGCAGGGATCTACAGTGCGACAAAAAATTACTGTGTGCGAACATGAAAAAATATTTAGGCGCACTTGTGCGACTGACCTGATCGAAGCTACAAACTACAACTCCCCAATGCCCTTACACGTACGTTACGCATCAACAGTGACGTTTCGCATTGTGATTGGTTGCTTTTAATTCCAGTCACCCAAGCAAGCGGCGCGAAAAAGTTTGTGACGACTGTGGCGTTGAATTAAAGCTGTGTTGGGATGAAAAGCATCAAATTTTACTTTAAGAGTTCAGTCTCAAATGAGGCAGAACAGAGTAGCTTCAAAAAACAAGAAGAACAAGACGAACAAGAAGTCGGTGCTGTTGTTCCTTGTAAGAAACAGAAAATATCAGTAACTTTAAACGGTACAAGTTCCGAAATGAATGGCTTGACGTTTTTCCATGGCTACAATACAACCGAGATCAAGATGTCATGCTGTGCAAATACTGCAAAGAAGCCGGTGCGGAATTAGCAGGGCCAACAATGTTTGTGTGCGGAAATTCACACTTCAAGCGAGAATCGCTTGTAAAGCACGGCAATTCCCAGCGCCATTTTCGACATATTTATTAACAGGTCACAACCTAATAATCCTCGTACAATTCAGGCAGCCGCTAACAGGCAAATAAGCCTTACAAACGCAGAAGCTCTTAGACAACTAAAAATCAAATTCAACACCGCATACCTGATAGCGAAAGAAGAAATCCCATTTACGAAATTTGGGCCATTACTTTTGCTTCAGAAGAAAAACGGTGTGGATATCAACCCTACCTATGACAACGACGTCAGATGTGTAGAAATGATAGCCCAGATCGCTGAAGACATCAGGGATAAGCTTGCCCAAACCATTCAAGATGCACGGTACCTCTCTGTTCTTGTTGATGGGGATACAGATGTCTCCAATACAGAGTGCGAGATAGTGTATGTGCATGGTGACTCGTCTAGTCGGCCAGCAGATGCTTCAGCATGCCCATGCAGAGGGTAAGTACCACATTTTTTATTATTGCCCCCCCCCGCGAAGTCACTGAAGCTGTAGATGACACTTAAACATGCATTTTACAGGAAGCTTATACTAAACTATTATAATCTATTATTCAAATAAAGTGGCTTGAGATCCAATCGTTCTAAGTTCTCATCCCAATGTAAGTTACATAACTCAGTAAGATATTAACAGTGCCTAACAACTATTGTAGACTGTACAATTTATGTAAAGTATTTTTTCTTATTTTATTTCAAAGAACCAGGAAAACATTGTTTTAGTGTAATGTGGCTTGATAATGAAAATATTATGAAAGTTATGAAAAGAAACTATAATGTAAAGGAACAATATATTTTTTGAAGGCATCCTAGATGGTACAAAGGCTGCATTTGATTCCCTTGGCACCCCTGACTGGACAGAAAAATGCATTGCATTTGGTGCAGATGGTGCATCTGTAAACATGGGCATCCATGGTGGAGTGATTGCTCTTTTGCAGAGGGAAGTTGGAGAACATGTGATTCCCATACACTGCATGCCACATCGGTTAGCGTTTTCTTTTGAAAAGAATGTAACCTTTACTACTTTTTACTACATGAATATAACTGAATCTTCTGACATAATATTTTAGTTTTAGTATTCAAAATGCCTATAAGAACTGTCTCTACGGTTACATCTGGTTTGCAGAATTATAATCAAAATCTTCTCTATTTTTTTAGGGTTTTTTTGGATAGGTTAGAGCTGGCGATTCTCAACCTGCAGCGCAAAAATCCAATGGTAGCAAAAGTGTATGATCTCCTCCATCTTGTTTGGAAATCTTATCATTTTAGTGCAAAGTCAAGATGGGAGTTGAATGCCCTTGGAGAACAGCTTGGTGTGGGGGTTTGCACTCCTTCTAGTGTGAAGGGAACAAGATGGATTCCTCACGTGCACCGAGCACTGAGTACCCTTCTTAAATCCGAAAAGAATGGAGACTTGGTTGCAGACAGTGGTCAGTATGCGGTCACCTTCTATCATATGGAGCACCTGGCCTTATCTGCTGCCAATGCTGACATACTGGGTCGTGCAAAGAAGGTTAGTTTCATAATAATATACATGCTACTTTCCAAAAGTTGAAATGAAAAAATGTCAAGTACTTTTCTATATTAGATAAGAAGGGAAATGCAGGAAGTGAATTTCAGCGCATTCAGTCATTTCCTGGCTGACGTCTTTCAAGAACTGGCTACACTCAGTTGCATCCTTCAGAAGAATGACCTCATTCTTCCCCAAGCTGTATCTAAACTAAAAAGACAGTTGCAGCATTAGAGGCCATGAAGGGAAGACTTAAGCAAAGTGGCATGCTTTCCAAGTCTCTGGCTTGTCTTCAAGGACAAGAAAAGGATAAGGTCACATTTCAGGTTTGTTAGGATTAGAGATAGTGAGCCTACTACCACTACTAAATATTTAAATAAGGCACAAGATTAGGAACAATACCTGTTATTTTTGTTGCATTGTGATGTTTATATTCTCAGACAAATACACTGCATTGTTCTAACAACAGAATATAATGTAAATGTAATATTTTTTTTTTCTTTCAGGGTGTATCACTTGTTGGTGACATGTCAGGAATGATCCAGCCTGGTGGCCTAGGCAACCATAAGTTACAGCAGCAAATCAGTGCTGTCGTTTCTGTTGCTGTTGAGGCCCTACATGCTCGCTTCGGTAGTCTAATAAACAAAGACAGCCAGTGTCCAGCATATACTGCAATTGACTGTTTCAAAATTTTTAACCATGACACATGGCCAGAAAATGAAGACGTTCTACTAGATTATGGCAGTGAGCAGATGGATGTTCTTCTAAATCATTTTCAAGAAGTACTGCAAAGGTGAGATGTTACCCCATTACAATGTAGATTTAGATAGATGGATCATTAGATGTTTCTGCATATCATCATTTATAACTGTGCTTTGTTTGGGTTAGAGGTGGATGCCAGACAGACAACGTTCAAGGGGAGTGGAGAAGTCTGAAGACACTTGTAAGACAAACATTTCAAGTCCTACAGCAGCTTGTGGCAAACTTTGTCCACCAAAGAGCCATACAATGTTGACTACAAGGTAATGTACACTTTTTACCATTTCTACAGTACTTTATGTAATAGCTTGCCTAATCAGCGTTATTTTTAATCAGTACAGTTGTTTGTTTCATTTCCAGAACATACTGCACCTTGTCGAGATGATGCTGATTCTACCTATATCAGCTGCACAGTGTGAGAGAGGATTCTGAGCACAGAACCGCATCAAAAACTCCACTCGAAGCAGTCTGCACGTATCTACCACAGAGGATCTTATTCGAATCAGCACTGAGGGACCTTCTCTGGAGAGATCTGATCCAAGCAAATGCGCAGAGAAGTGGCTGTCTTCAAGTAAACGTTCAAGAAAACCACACTACAAAGCCTGGCCAGCTGAAATATGCAGCATCTGATTGCTGTTCACTGTGTGGCAGGAACATTCATTGTGTTCAGCAGTGCAGATGTCAATAAAGCTTTTAAAAGGACAGTTCACCCAAAAATGAAAATTCTGTTATAATTTGCTCATTCCAATAACTTAAGTCTTTCTTTCATCTTCAGAACTCACTTGAAGGTAGTTTTAATATTATGTGTATATAATGACATTAGGGTGGGTAAATGATGACAGAATTTTTAATTGTTGGTGAACTGTTTTAAATATATTTGAGCACTACACTTCAACGTCTGTACATTGTGTATTTGTGCATATGAAATGTATGCATGATTTTTTTGTGTTTTGAGGACAGCCTGTCTAACTGTTTTTCTGAAACTGAAAATATTAAATGTTTATCTGAAGCTATGTTTCAGATTTTTTTTCCCTCATGCTCTCCATACTTGTGTATGTTATGTGGCACATTAATATTGCGTTGTTTAAGGGGGGGAAAAAACTAAAATTGTCTGTGCTAATAAAATAATTAAAAAAGTTACTGTAGAGCCCTGAGGTGTATATGACTTTCTTCTTTCAGACGAATCCAGTCGGAGTTATATTTAAAATGGTCTTTGATCTTTCAAGCTGTTTAATGCCACTCAGCGGGTGTTGCATGCATCAGTCCAAAAGAAGTTAAATAAAAAGCGCCCATCCATTAAAAAAAAGTGTCTCACACGGCTCCGGGGGGTGAACAAAGGACTTCTGTAGCGAATCGATGCGTTTTTGTAAGAAAAATATCCATATTCAAAACGTAATAATCACTTTAACCCTCTAAGCGCCAAAGTCGCAAAATTGCGACAAGACGTCATACTTAATGAAATAGGCTGTAGATCCTAATATGGTGTAATATCTCATTTGTATTCCCTACCACTAGATGGGAGACATGTAGTACTTCGATTCTAGACCAAAATTACATCACGTTCCTATTCAAAGTGTTTGAGGAAAGAGCAGAGCAAGTGAGCTATCGTGCCATTGATGCGGAAGCAGTTCAGCTCATAGCGTGCGAGTAAATTGTGAGATTTGTGAGAGAAAATCGCCAAATGGCTAATAAAAAGTTGTACCGTGAGGCTGTGTTGCAAATGTTATTCGCCGATTCTGACTCTGAAGGGGAATATTTGCCTTTTGGAAATGAGAGTGTTCACGAAGCACAAACAAGCAATCATTTCGAACCTTTGCCCAATGGGGATGGGGGTGGCAGGGGTGAATCTTTTCCTGTTGTTGCAGTAAAGTTGGCCACCTGTCTGCTTGATATATGTTTGTAGTGTGATAGCATTGTTTTCCTGCTCAGCTCTTTACTGTAATATGTTTGACAGATTGTTTAGTTTCAGTTGAGGAAACAAGTTCATACCAAAGTATAACGTTTCCAACCAGAACCAAAAATGCGTTAATGTCATAAGAGATCCTTGTAGAACCACCACTGAAACTCTTATATATTATTATTAGTATTTTCATCACCATTTTTCTCCTCTGTCCTGTAGGAAACTTCCCAATGATCAGTGCTGATCTGGTGAACTCGTATCATCTGCTCCTGTGCGCTCTGGATCTGGTTTACTGCAACGCTCTCCTGTGCTCTAGTCATAAAGATCTGCTCAACCCGGCTTTTAAAGGTCCCACACACAGCACTGAAGTAATTGTTTTGAGATCAGGTGTCCAGACAGGAGATCACAGAAGGTCAATCAAACATTGGTTTGTGCTTGTTGTTTTCCTGCTCAGCTCTTTACTGTAATATGTTTGACAGATTGTTTAGTTTCAGTTGAGGAAACAAGTTCATACCAAAGTATAACGTTTCCAACCAGAACCAAAAATGCGTTAATTTCATAAGAGATCCTTGTAGAACCACCACTGAAACTCTTATATATTATTATTAGTATTTTCATCACCCTTTTTCTCCTCTGTCCTGTAGGAAACTTCCCAATGATCAGTGCTGGTCTGGTGAACTCGTATCATCTGCAACGCTCTCCTGTGCTCTAGTCGTAAAGATCTGCTCAACCCGGCTTTTAAAGGTCCCACACACAGCACTGAAGTAATTGTTTTGAGATCAGGTGTCCAGACAGTAGGAGATCACAGAAGGTCAATCAAACATTGGTTTGTGTGCAGGGCTGCCTGAGGACTTCAACAGTAAAGATTATAAGCCCGGCCCAGGTTCATTATGTTTCATAGAGAAGCTGTGTGAGCTTCACGATGGGCTGGTGCTGGAGGCCAAAGGAGCAAAGGAGCATTTCTGGAAACCCTTCATTAAGAAACTCTTTGAGCGCAAGGTACTGGAAATACAACAGACATATGAGGACCGTCAATATGTTTTTGAAAGAAGTCCTTTTGGCTCACCAAGGCTGCATTTGATCAAATTGTTCAAAATGACAATAAAACAACAATATATAAAAGCAGTATAATATATTGAAATATCTATTGATATATATAATATATATATATATATATATATATATATATATATACTTAATATAAAAAATATATATTTTTAATGGCAACAATATTTCACAATATTACTGTTTTTACTGGATTTTTGATAAAATAATAAATAAAAAATTTAATTCAGCCTTAGTGAGCATACGAGACTTCTTTCAAAAACATTACAAACTTTAAATTATTCCAGTAGTCAAACGTTTAAAGTTTACATGATATCTTCCAACATTGTTTCTTATGGAATATTCAGAATACGTCATGTTAAATCATATTTTATGTCTTGAAATTGTATTATGATTTGCTTTGATTTATTATTATTATTATTATTATTTATTGTATTAAAATTGTTTGGTATAAGCAGTTTTTTGGTATATTTGGTATATCCCATCTTTTCTCTCTCACAGGTTTTGAAGGGGAAAGAAGACACGCTGACAGGGTTTTTGGAGCCAATAAATTTCGGTGACAGTCTGTGAGTGTCCCTTTTCAATTAAATACTTATTCTGTGTGAAGCTGCTGAAATATTTCTCCTGTAGTTTACAATCTCCTCGCTCTCTCTGTTTCTTCAGTGCTTCTCTGAACCGTGTGTATGAGAAACACGTGCTGTCATCCGGTTCTCTGGATGAGAGGATATTTCTGGGAGAAGCGGCCAGAGAAGACATTGGCACCCCAGGACCTTGTTTGTGTGAAGGGATAGAGAACCAGGAACGACTGACCAACCCCCTCCAGAACTCAATGACAGTATGTGTGTCCAACAAACATAAATATGCTTAAAAATAATTCTCAATAATTAACAATGATGTTGTACATATTAATAAACCTGTGTGTTTGTTTCACAGGCATCTACTCTGAAAGTGTCCACTCCTTTGACAGGAAGTCAAGACAGACAGGTATGTGCCGGAAAACAGTGTGGGTACCCCCGTTTCCATGGCAATGCAGAGCGTGGGCTGTCTGCACACTCTGCTGACAGGATTCAAATACAGACCCAGCATGGGACTCAGAGACATATTCAGGTGAGCCCAAGTTAATTTCTGTGTTAGTCACAATCTGCTGCATACACCCAAATACAAGATGCAGAGTATCTGTATTTACTGTCGGTTCACTAGAACCACTGCAATCACAGTTTACTGTAATCAGATGGAATATCCTTTTATTGATTCCACTGTCCTGTGATTCCAACAAGCTTTAATTCCAGATATTTCCGTAAAACTGTGATTCCTGAGAGTCCAGTAAAACTGTGATTCCAGAGAGTCCAGTAAAACTATAATTACAGAGAGTCTGGTAAAACTGTGATTCCAGAGAGTCCAGTAAAACTATAATTCCAGAGAGTCCGGTAAAACTATAATTACAGAGAGTCCGGTAAAACTATAATTACAGAGAGTCCGGTAAAACTGTGATTCCAAAGAGTCCAGGAAAACTGTGATTCCAAAGAGTCCAGGAAAACTGTGATTCCAAAGAGTCCAGGAAAACTGTGATTACAAAGAGTCCAGTAAAACTATAATTACAGAGATTCCAGTAAAACTGTGATTCCAGAGAGTCCAGTAAAACTGTGATTCCAGAGAGTCCAGTAAAACTGTGATTCCAGAGAGTCCAG